TGGAATGCAAACCCCGTCTAAACCAGTGGCACCCGCTGATGTTTGACCAAACTCAGCGATCAAAAGGACATGTGGCTTCCTTCACCCCCATGGTTGTCTAAAACCCGCTGCTATGGCTCCAGGTGTCCTGCCCAAAGGATGGAAGTTTGTTCCCAGTTTCAGTCAAAGGCGAAGTGCATGAACATATCTACAAGCTCATAGCCCCGGTTGCAGCCAGCCAACATCAATGGTGCGTGATGCTATCAAATTGTTTGTGGGTACATGCTTTGTTATTTTCAAGCATCGTTCTTTCAACAACTAGCCATTTTTGCTGGGTGTCCTGAGGTTTTCTAGCAAGCAGGATCCCTGGAAAGAATGGGGAAGGTAGCCTTAGAAGAACCCAATCCTCATGGTTGTTGTCTAAAACCCTAGAAAACAGTCTCAGAGCCAGCACATCTAACCCACCGGCAAGGACTTGTTTAAAGGGTTTTGTTCGACCCGCCTGCCCAAAGGAATCGGGAAATCTAAGGTCAACCTTCTTGCACCTTGACCGAGTACAAGCATCGGGGCAGAAGAGCTTCCCTCAAAACCCAATGCCTTGTGCTTCTACATGGTTTTCATTGTTCGATTTCTTACCCTTCTTCAATTTAGTCGTTCGGACTACCTACATCTTCAAAAATGGCCGTGGCTCAGAAAAACCCGGAATTCCAAAGTGGAACCCTGGTAAGTGGAAACATGGACCAAACCCTGCGGTTTGCCCCTCCCAGGTTGAATTTTGAGCCACGCCCACATGGGTCTGGCTCACAGCCTTCATCGAACCCCCTGGACCAAGCTCGGCTCGAGGTCCTCGGGCTCGAAAACCCCCCTTTGCTTTTTCGTCCCCTGGCAAATCAAAAAAAAACCAGGGTAAAATAACTAACATATTCTTATAAGCAACTGGAGGTGACTGGATTGGACCATGAAAATCTGAAAATCCAAACATTGTTGTAAACAAATGATCTTCCTGCAAAGGAACTCAGGAAGCGAGAAATGCCGACAAACCAATGTTGACCACTAGATAATTCGTCGGTTCTTCCAACACAGCATCGGCCATAGGCTTCCTAAGGCCCCATGCTAGAAGCTCCTCACCGTAAGCGATCTGCACATGAGCCTGGCTGCCGTCTCAGAATCAAAAGGAAAATACGCTCACTTGCTCCTTACTTGCTCAAAGGACCTGGAAACAAAAGGTTAACCTTTTGGGACCTTTACTAAAAATGTACCAAATCAGGGAAACCAAAAGGTCAAAAGGTCGATTCGCTTTGGGCAACTGAGGCTCTTCCAAGTGACCTGAAGAGAGTCTCAAACGTGGCCTTCCACTCCTCTCAGCTTCTCCCCCTCGAACGAGTGAAAGTTTCTGGTTGCACCCCAACACACCCTGCCGGGACCTAGTGAAAAACGGTTCAGCTTTTGGGAGCCTGCCCAAAAAAATGTACCCTTCCCACCCTTTTCACATGGGACCTGACGTTCGTGGAATTGGTCCTGGTTTGGACCATTGTCCTTTCAAAAGGGACCGTTTCCCGAACGTCAGGTTCCATGTGAACGGAATCGGAGGGTAAATGGTTCAAAAAACCAATCTAAACCAGTGGAACCCATCTGTTAATCAAAGCCAAAAGCGGAAACACTCGATCCGTTTTCCTAGGGTTCATGTCAGGTTCCAGGTGAAAAGGGTGGGAAGGTAACCCAAGGAGAAGCCAAAAGCTTAAAACTCGATTCGCTTACGGCAGAGTTTCAAGCAGCCCTAGGGGCTCTGGACCTGAGGTCGAACATCTTTGGCGGTCCCTTTGCGCCCGCGGAAAAAGGATCGCCTTTTCCCGAGAAGTCGTAGAGAGCGCCATGCACGCCTCATGTGGTTTCTGATCTAGGCTCCTCCAGTAGAGAGGTTAGAATAGGGGACCAACTTTGTTTCTGTAGTCTGTTTTAGTAGGGGAGCCCTCCCCCCCAACAAAGGGTAAAAGGACACTACTGGGAGACCTAGTAGGGTTCTCCTTGTGGTATCTGTGCTGATTGACTTCGCACCAAAGCCGAGAACTAAGTCTAGCTGGTCCTGTTCGAAAAAGAAAAAACAAAAAACGCACGAACGTGTGAGGCTCAAATTCGGGGACCCTCGGTTTTCCTTTTGCCCGGTGAAAACACCACGAAAAGGGTACCCTTTAAAACACACACCCATATGAAACCCGGAAAAGGGCTCCTGATTGCAAAAGTCCAAGCCAACGAGCCCTGCTTGCATTTGCTTTTGCGCCCATTGGAAAAAAAACGAGACATAGTTCCAGTGATAGATTCCCTTTCAAGCCAAGGGGCAATAAAACAGATGAAAAACCAACATCTGTCCATTAGTGAATTCGATTCCCTTTCGAACCAACAAGGGAAAGCAAACGTATTCTGCCGCCAATGGCGGGATTTCCAGGTTCGCCGTTTGGCCTTTGAAGCGGGGCAAAAGCTGGCGCTTGACTCAAGACGGCGCCTTAATCCGCACTGCCACGTGGCCCTCCATGGCCTGAGGCCAGGCAACGGAGTTGGAGTTCCTTAATCTAGGGCTTGATTCCTTATCGACCATCCTTCTTTTCCTCAAAACTTTTCGGTGGTTTTCGAGAAAGGATCCCTGGAAAGAACAGCTACCCTTAGACTTAAGTCTGGACCCTCAAAAAGTCCCTAGACGCTCCAATTCGAGGTATTTAGGGCCCTAAAGTTTGCCAGGTTTTCAGACCGGGTCCCACACACCGATTCCCGGGGGGTCTAAGGGAGGGGTCGGGTCAAAGTTTTTAACTTCAATTTGGTTTTTCGACTCCTGCAAAAATGGAAAATATATGTCCAGTAGTGAATTCGATTCCCTTTCAAGCCAACAGGGGAACAAACAAATAAATAAAATAACAAAATTAAGCAAATGGAAGCTAAGGACAAAGGTTCTTGCCCCAAAAGTTCTGCGATGAATCTCACTTCTGTGATGCAACAAAAAGGCCGTCCAAAGACTAAGCCCCCGGGGGATAAACTCCTTGATCCCACAACCCGGCCCTAAAGACAAAGGTTCTTGCCCCAAAAGTTCTGCGGTGAATTTCACTTCCCCAGATGGGTCAGGTGAGAAACATCCTTCAGGAACCTTCCAACTAATTTCAGGATTCACCAGGCCTTGCCCCAGTTCTTCAAACCAGGAGGCAACGCCTGTGCGATGATTTCCCTTTTCCTGTTGTAGTTTGGGAGGGCCCTGGGTTCGGGGGCCCCTGAAAAAATGGCTGGCCGGTGGTGTTTGGGGCTACTTCCCTTTCTACTGCGGATGGTTTGCGACATCCGCGTCTCGGATTCGCCACGAAATGAAACCACGGTTGAAACCACTGCTGGGAGATTTCCAGGGCAAATCAGCCACCAGAAATTCTGAACGAGTGCGAGACTCGCGGACTTCGTTATGGCCTTCAGTTTGCCAAGCTGAAAGCGCCCCGCCAGAGGAACCGTCCAAGGCCGATGCAGCTTCAAAATGGAGACGGTAAGCTCCGCTCTGGCTCCACGAGGTCTGAAAACACCTCTCCTCCGAAACTTGCTGAGCAGGGAATGAAGGAAGGCCCTGTAAACCCCTCAGCTGTTCAGTGACCCTGGAAAAAAAGGGAACCCTTTTTTGCGAAGACCATTTTAGTGGGGCAGCCACCAATAAAAAAGGGAAAAAGGGAGCCACTCAACAACGGAGACCCTTCCTGGGACTCTAGCTATAGGTTCATTACGCTCGGTCTCGGTCATTCCCTATCGCACCCAGGCACGAACCGTCTGGTGATTCGCCCGGGTTTGGTGACAAAGCGTCGGGAAAGCGCCTTCCAAAACATCGCCTGACCCGGTCGCCAGCACCGCGAGGTGCTAAAGAAGTGCGGCGGAACCCTTTTGCGGTCCATCTCTGGCTCGCTTCCGAACGAGTTGCCAAAAAAAAGGAGCCACACTTCTTATTTGGCGGCTGTGGCTCAAAATTCAACAGGAGGGGTTGCGCAGGTTTTGGTCTATGTTTCCACCTGCCAGGGTTCCATTTTGGCACCGGTTTTCTGAGCAGCCATTTGCCACCAAACCTGATCTTCCCAAAAAGTGGAAAAAGTCCAGGACCTCAGGCTACGGGTGGCATCTACCAAACTGCTTTGGGCTCCCCGGCTGTGGGCGCTGCAGCGTTGCGGCCGGTTCGGCGCCCGGCGCGAAAACGGCGCGGAAACCGCGAGAACGGATTTTTGCAAACTGGGACCCTCGGTTTGAAGCTTAGGTGTTGGTGTTCGCTTGCCTGGTCTCCGATGTTTGGCGAGACTGCTGATGCGAGTCGAGGGAAAACATGTTGAGCAACTGCCGCGGAGAGTTCAGAAGTTAGAAGCGCCAAGTGGTGGGAACTTCTGGTGTCAAGGGAGCTGCGAAGCAAGTTGGCAGTTTGTCGCTCAAGCTCCAGGAAAACACACACACACACACACACCCGCACACACAGCAAACAGCAAACAGCAAACAGCAAACAGCAAACAGCAAACAGCAAACAGCAAACAGCAAACAGCAAACAGCAAAGCGCTCGAGGATGTTTGAGCATGCTTGTGACACCAAAGTCGGATTCTCATCCCTCTGGCTACATTGAAGAACGCTTCAACTTGGTACAGAAAGGGGGCAAAACCCAACTTCCCACAGCCAGGTGTTGGAGTCTCATGAGTCACGGAGCCTTGATTGATTCAGCCACGTCGAGCCATGTAAATCCAGCTGCTTCGCACCTTCCGCTTGACGCTGTTTTCCCGCCGCCCATTGCGAGGGACCGGTGTCAGCAAATAACGCACGCCTGAAGTTCCTCAGGTCTTTCAGCAACTCCCTAACTTGCGCCCAGTGATTCCATTCCCCGGTAAGTAACCGAGTTGGAACCACACAAAAAAAAGAAAGCCCAAGAGGCAAATGGTTGGTTACTGGCTACCTATGGCTACCTAATGAATTGTTTGAATCCCAAGATGAAAATTGCTGATTACTGGCTACCTGATGTAATATAGAGCTAGCTGGGATCCATTGGGTTTGCTAAGTTGCTGGCTATGCCGTCGCGCACTTTACGCCTGAGCCGCCAACTGGATCCTGGATCCTACCCGGGTTCTGGCCCTTTTCACTCGTCAGAGAAGCAAATCCCGAAGGATGGCTCCGGCTATAGGTCGTCCTGTCGGGCAGTCAACCATTTTAGCTCAAGAAATATCAGGGGGCTGCGGGGGAGAGGAGGGGGAGGGAGCCCAAATAAGCCCCATAACACCTTATTTCAGCTCCCTCCCCCTCCCCTCCCCCCCGCGAGCCCCCACGAAACTGCCGAAAACCAAGATGGAAACTGAAAGACATCCGCTGGACGACCAAATTTCCTCTAGGGAAGCCTTGCAGCTTCCATACTTGTTTGGAGGCTCGGCATCCCTGGGTTGCAGCCACAAATCACCCTTTGAGACACTGGGTACCTGGCCAACAGGAAAGAAAAGACATGGGTGGCTCGTTTTCTAGGCAACCAAGATTGTGGTTTTCCCTTTGGTTTCCCCCTGAAAACCCACAAACAAATGGGGTACCCTCAAAAACAGACAAGCCACCCACATGGTTCCACCCTCGGTCGACTAGAAGTTCTTGTTGTCTTTCTTTTTGGGGTGATGGAAGGTTTGTGTTTGTAGGGGTCACCCTTTCATTTTTGGTTTTAACAAGGGGAAGCCGGGAACCCTGCTTGTTTTGAGGCTCCGCATGGTCCCAAAACCATTTTGTAAGACCAGGCCCGCAGGTTCAAACACTGAACCGAGAGCGGATTCCGGCGTTCCTCCTGCCCAAAGAAGACTCGGCGGTTTTGGGAGGTATGCCTTTCTACCACCAAAATCAGCTTGTATTGTACTTGTATTGCAGTATGTACCGCTTGCTTAAGTGGTATACCATCTCCATACTGTGGTTGGACGAATTCATGCACCAGTTGGACGGTAGTTTATCCCTCTTGTTGTAGAGTTTTAACCATCCCAACTGGTGCTGGATTTTGTCCAGCCACAATCTGCTCCAAATATTCGTTTCTGGCAAGTCCCGGGTTCCGGTTTTCGCACAATGTTCTTCGGTTCGTTAGGCCAAATTTGGGTCCCCGTCATGGGGATGTCAACCACCCTGAGCTTAGTTTTTGGTGGGGAGGGGGGGGAGCTGCAAATGGAACCCAGGCTCAATTGCAAGATGCGTAAATCATACAAGCCCTTTCAAGCTGAGATGCAAACAGCTTTGCATTCCGTCTTAAATTCCAAATGTGTCGTGTGGCCTCCTGTAAAGTAGTGCGGTCTTGGGGCAACTAATTCATGAGGTTTTGCACCACCTGAGTCAATTTGAAGTGGCATAAGTTTTAAAGAAACTACCGTCAAAAAGTATTTTTGAGAAGCCATCCAAAATATGTTCTTTCTGAGGGACCCCAACAAACACACTTAGATGGTCCGGGACCTCTCGCTAAGTGGCTGGCAACCATGATGAACAAGGCTGCTAACCATTCAGCGAAATCCTAGACCATCGAAGTAGCCTTCCCTTGTAACCAGCGGCAGGTCCCACCTCCATGCACGCAGCCTTTACCTCAAACGGCCAAGGCGTCAGCTAGATCTGAGAGCATTCGGACAGTGAGCGTCCAATTCTTGGAGAAATCTCGTTGTGAAGCACCCAGCGTCTTTGTTGCTCATGGCAATTTGCAGAGAGCTACCCCTCTTGTGCCTGTTTGATCCACCTTTCCATTTCTTCGAAACGTGTGCCTTGGGCAGAGTGTCCGAGGCTGTCTGGGTGCTCTTGAAGGGCATACCCGACTGCGTCACCTCATGGCGTACAAAGGGTCGGGGGCGTGCAACAAGCAACCAAACCAAGGGCTTCTGGTGCTTTTAGTTGGTTGGGTTGGTTGGGTGGCTGGGGTGCGCTCGAGGGTTGCTTGCCTGCCTGCTTGCCTGCCTGCTTGCTTGCCTGCTTGCCTGGCTGCCTGCTTGCTTGCTTGCTTGCCTGCCTGCCTGCCTGCCTGGCTGCCTGCCTGGCTGCGTGCTTGCTTGCTTGCTTGCTTGCTTGCTTGCTTGCTTGCTTGCTTGCTTGCTTGCTTGCTTGCTTGCTTGCTTGCTTGCTTGCTTGCTTGCTTGCTTGCTTGCTTGCTTGCTTGCTTGCTTGCTTGCTTGCTTGCTTGCTTGCTTGCTTGCTTGCTTGCTTGCTTGCTTGCTTGCTTGCTTGCTTGCTTGCTTGCTTGCTTGCTTGCTTGGCTGCTTGCCTGTCTGCGTCGGGCTTGCTTTCTTGCTTGCTTGCCCGCCTGCCCGCCTGCCTGCCTGCCCGCCTGCTTGCTTGCTTGCTTGCTTATCGTGCCTTCGCTACTCGGCTTCTCGCTTTTCCAGAAATTCCACCCAGAAGTGTAGAACGCTAAAGGGTGAAGGCTAGGATTCTACGAGAAAACAGCGCATAATACTGCAAAGGAGGGGAGGGATCGCAGCCCAGGCTCAACTAACAAGTACTTGGTTGGCGCCTGCTTTCCACAAACAGGAGCAACAACAAAAGTATAACTGCACAACTGCACCAAGATATGGCAAAGGAATGAGAACAGATCCCATCCCTAGGGCCTGGCAGGGCAGGAAACTCAGGGAATTGGATGGCTCCAAACTTCCCGAGACGCAAAAAAAAAGACCACCAAGAAGAAGGACAACGGACGCGAAAAAGCGAACAAAAACTACCTCTTGCTCATCTTTTGAGAAAAAACAACTCGCTATTCTTCCCCCTGAAGCGAAATCCCGGTTTAGGAAACTCTGTCCAAAGTGGACCAAAGAGTGATGGTAACGTCCATCAAGAAAGGGAATGTACCAGCGTGGGCCAGAGGGGCAATCTTCCAAGGCGAAGACGTTGAGCGAGGAATACCCGTCGGATGGGGGCTGAACAGCTCATTTGCCCAAAGGACCCAGAACTAAAAAGTTAACCTTTTGGGGCCATGCCTAAAACTTGACCAAAGGGGATAACCAGAAAGTCAAAAGGTCGGCTTTGAAGAAGACAAACACATTCCATTGCCGGGTTGCTCTCCCCCCATTCGAAAAGCCATTTGCTTCCAAATGCTGCCCTATGCCTATGATCATGACTTAGCAGTCCTAGCGGGATTGTTGAGTACACCGCACCAGGAAAACATAATCCCACTCGTCCCTGATTCTGGTGAAGGTGTCCGCGCCTTTGCTCACCCACATCTAGCGGGATTGAGCCATCTAGTCTGCGTGTGTCTTGCAATAAGGGACCCGCAAAATGGCTGGTTTCCTTCTGGTTTCCCTTTTTGAACCAACCCAAAGATTGTCCATTGTAACCCCGTCCTATTGATGGGGGAGTTCCCCTCCAAAAGTGGCAAACCCCAACAAAGAAAAAGGGGGCACGCCTTGATCAAAATCAAGCCATTTTGAGAAACCCCTTGGAGGTGATGTATCAAACCCATTCAACAAACCCCTATCACACCCCCCTGAAGAAATCAACCCCTTCATAGTCATGCATCCTTAAGCAGTTTAAAAGGATTTGGCTGATGCGGCCGATGTAGGGTGTTCCAACCTATGGATTCCTGCTCATTCCAACTCATTCCTTGCCTATCGAACCAGCAAGGCACCCGGCAAGGTGCCATTCAGCAGGGAATGAGGCAATGACCCCTACAAACCATCCCCTATGGCCCCTATGGTTCCTTCAATCAATTTATCCCAAAACGGTCCATTCCATTTCTCATTCCCTAAGCCGAACCCGACGTGTCAGCAACTCCTTGGGTCAGCTCCCACCGAGACTCGCTCCGGCCTTGTCATGCCGGGAGATTCGGCTCACCCGCTGGCCTCCGATCCGCGCCGAGATGGGGCGCGGTGGGGGTCTTCGGCCAGGGGCGCTGGCTGGGTCGGCCAGGGCGGCTGGTAACTTGGACGGGTCGCCTCTTACTCTCTGCCTTCTCCATGACCCCTAGCAAAAAGGGCCATGACTCCTGAAAATTTTGGGCAATGCCCCCCTTTTTCTAAGGGTCATGGAGTGAAGTCAACCAAGTTGACCTGTGGGCCGAACTTCGCGAGCCTGGAAGCGGAAGGAGTCCACTGGGCACTGGGCGATGGGTGCTAGCTTTGAAGTTGAAAGCCATGGAAGCCAAGTGAAATCAAGCGACGTGTGCTTTACTTCCGAAAAGGAAAAGGCACAAGAAACACAAAAAGGGCGGTTTTGTTCCAAGACACGGGATTCAGAAGGTTCCCCCCAGCTTTTGTAGGATATTTGATGGTGTTGGCAGGTTGTCCCCCTTTCTTGCCCTCCACGCCAGCAGTAAACCGCCACGATGTTGGCCCACCAGGCTCTTATTTCAGCCTGCCTCAACCACGGTGATCCCTTTCGCATGGTCACGAAAACAATCACGCATCCCCATGGCACAGCAGATTTGACCCTGGCAGGTTTGAATGTGCCCAACACGCATCCTTCAATGTACCCTGCTTCGGGATTAAGGAGGAACCCCTCCTGGGCATCAGGGTGAAGTGCGGCAATCATACTTCTCATATCTGCATGGGTGTGGTTCCTTGTTCAGCTTTCATGCTATCAATCAAACAGGGTTCTTAAAAGGGCACATCTAAAAATCACCAGCTTCACAAGGATGAAATTTCTGAAAATCAGCTGATCTTGTGGCGACCGTTTAAGGGGACTACTCTGCCACTTTGAATGGAAGTCCCTCGAAGAACATGGCACCCTAAAACATCGTTTCCCACAACCATGGAATAGCCTAGGATCCCAAGCCCCTAAATATCAAGGTCACGGGACCCTCGGGGTCGGCGAATCGGCTCGGCTCTTCAAAAACCCAAAGGCTGAATGTATACGTCCCCTGGTTTGAACTCTGTTTATTACACGTTTCCTCTGGCTTAGTTAATGGGGATACAGCCCGGTGGGTGCAAAATGGCCATGGGTTCCTAGAACAGCCAGTGAAAAAAAGAAGTTCCCCCCAGGATCCCAAGACCCGAAAAATCTGAAGCCCTTTGACCGGAAAAGATCTCGAAGGTCTTGGGACCCACGGGCTTGGCGCCCCACTGGCTGCGTGAGCCGGGTCGCTTCTCCCGGAAAAAAAAAAGAGATCCATCCGCCTGGCGGCTCCTCGTTCTTTTGCTTTCTCTTTGCCCTGGCGCACTTTTCACGACAGCTGAAAAGGGCGAGTGAACGAGATGTGACCTTTGGGACCCCCTGAAAAAGGAAGATGGGGTTCCTGCAGTTTACCCAAGGCAAAAAAATATAAAAGAAGATGGCACCCAAATGTAGACTGTTTACCTGTTGTTTCCCAACAAGACAAAGTGTATAATTACCACAGAAGGCGCTGTATACGAGTGGTAAACCAATCAGGGGGCTTGCAGCCACAAGTGGGTCAGAGCCATGGTTACAAAGCACCTACTTCCCCAACCATTGATCAAACAAAAAGGAAACGCAAAAAAGCCGCAAGTTGCAGGGGAAAATGAAGGGGACCAAAAAAACAGGAAACCGGTTCACCGAGCACGGTGACCATTTGCCCTCTCAAAACCAGGAAATTCTCCAAGTTGGCCTTTGGACAGATTGACCTAAGAGGCAGGCTACGGAACTCATGAGTGATCATATTCTTGGATACTACATGCACTAGAAGCAACATATTCTACAAGAGGTTGGATTTTGGACCATTTGTACTTTTCCGGGAAGCCTGCAAATTCAAGTGTACCGGAAGCTAGACTATAGACCGTTGAGCTGTTGGCTCAGATTTGCTTGCAGGTCCCCCAAAGGAGAGGTTAGAATAAGAGTACCCCTTTTCTGTAGTCTATTTTCGTTGGGGAACCCTTCCCCAAAAAAGGGTAAAAGGGCACCACTGCGGGACCTAGACTATGTGTAATGAAAGCACCCCATGAAGGACCCTTCAGCTGCTAAAGGTTCGGGAGCCTTGGCAAAAAATCCAAACATGTAGTGTGTACACCTTTGACTGCCCGGCTCGCTTCAGCAGTCTGTTGCTTGATTTCAGCCAGCCACGACGCATGTAATTCTCAAGTTGTTCACGTCCAAACCAAGAGCCATGTGGGTAATCAAATTCGGGATAATGAAGCTCACAACGCCTGCACCTTCCGAGCAAAGCAATGTAGTAGGAATGATGCGTCAGCCTGTTCCCCGCCACAATGCAATGGCTGTTGGCAACAAGAAGCAACAAATAGCCACTGGCACCACGCCTAAGCCCCAGAGCTTATACCTGTTCGTTGTTACTTGTATGTGGGGTGAAGCAACAGTGCTGGATCCTGGTAACAACTTGCCGCCTGCTCATCCCAAAGAACCCAGAAACAATAAGCTAGCTCCCAACAAATAACAAGTGGAGCAACACTGCTTTGGACCAAATGGCCCCCTGCAACAGCAGCTGGCTGGTTCCCTTCTTCCTGGTGGAAAGGAATGCCGGGCGTCGGAAAGAACAGTCATTTCCTAACCGTTGCAAGGTTCTTCGGTGAACCCAAGAGCAATGGGGCAGCTTTGCAAGAGGAATCCTACAATTTAGGGCTCACATTGTTTACCGGCAACCTTAGGGCCACTCATGTTTTGCCCATCAGCGGAGGTCTTTACGACCGGCAACCCTTGGGTTGACCATGGCTAGCGGGGAACCATTGGCAGCCATCGGATCGGCCTGGGCAAGACCTCCTCCGAGCTATCCTGTCGGCAGACGGCGCGCGGCGATTGCGGCATTCGCCACACCAACTGTCTACCCTTGCGGTACTGTGGGTGGAACCCATGGTTGAAACCGGTAACGTGTGGTTGGTATTCACAGGGAAATCGAATCCTTTCAGGGTTTCGTAGGTGGTGCAGGATTTCGTCCATCCACAGTATGGCCATCTTTAGGCCAAAGAAGCCTTCTCCACTCATGGCACTCACTCAAAAGGAACAGGGCCATAAACGAAACACATCTGGGTTTCTCTCCAAATGAAGGGGGCAACCACAAAACGCCAAACAAGGAACCTGCCAGATCTGCAATCCCGAAGGCTGAAGCGGGGGATCCCCAAGGCGCCTGGGCCTACCCCAAACTTAATGGGGACCCTTTGGTGGACATCATTTGGCCGGGGATTCATGTCCAATTGATTCCAACTCTTAAAATTGATGGCCAGCACTGGAGAGAGGCTGGGGTGCCCCACGAATGCCCCACCCCATAATTTTGAGGTGCTTCCCTGTTAAGAATCATTGCCAAATAGATGCTCCACATGGATTCTCACCAGGCCGTCATGAGGCCCCATTCGCCCGAGTTCGGGCGGAACCGCCGGCCTCGCTGTCGGAGTCTGAGCTTAGCTCGAAAGGCACCTTCGGCTTGCCTGGCCCGAGAACGCAAGGAAACTGGGGGGCCTCTTGTCTTCCATTTGCTGAAAGGAACATGTTTTGTATTTTCCCTTGTTGGTTTTAAAGGGAATCGAGCTCACTACTGGAAATATGTGTCCTTCTTTCTTTTTGGTGGCGGAGGGGGGGGGGGGTTGGGGGGGGGCGGGGGGTAGGGGGGTGGGGGGGTGGGGGGGGGGGGGAGGAAAAACGAATGCAAGTTTTAAGGTTGGACCCCCAAAATGGCAAAACGGTGCTCCCCTCCCTCTAAACCACAAAACATGGGGGATCCCCAAAAAATGACATGTTTTGTTTCTTTTGCCGTTGGTCCCGTAAGAAAAACCACCAAAAAAGGGCGAGGCGCTCTCAAAAACCACACGCCCAACTCAAGGGGCTTTAACGGCAACAAGGTTGAATGGCAAATGTCCGGCGAGAGAAGGGGGTGGCTACATCAAAAAAAATGTGACTTGCGCTATCTACCTCTCACCCAACTGTATGCACATTGCGGGAAATTATCCTTGTGATGCCAAAGTGGGATTTGCATCTCCATGACTACTTCATGGCCTTGAATGGGTTTCTTTGGTAGAGAATCTGGCCTTGCTTGTCGCCCCGGACCCATGGGGAAAACCGGGGTCTCTCCATACCTTAGTTTCGAAACACACATGCGGAGATGCTCTTGATTGGGGGTACAGTATTTGGGTTGGAATCCCTGATGTGAAAACCTGATGTTAACCCCAGATTAACAACCTTCTGGTTGATTAATAGGGCGTGTGTCCCCTTTCAGTGGGGATTCATCACTTTTGGAGGGAGCAGCTCTCTAATAATGGGACGGGTTTGTTGATTTGGGGTCAACATAAGTCCCTTAGTCGCAATTAGCCCCACTGTTACATTCATTTGGTTAAGACCCCTGGAAAAAAATATACACATTTCCAGTAGTCATAGGTTCCCTTTAAAACCAACAGTGGAATTTAGGAAAATACTTTTAAAAAAAAATAAAAAAATGGAAGGTTAGTCTGCAATGCAATGGCTCCCCTTGCTATAGCTCCATACCAGTACGGTGGCTTTTGCATGGGGCGACTGTCCGTCTTGCATCCCACGCGAAACACACACGAATGGACTATTTGGTTCCACTGGTTCAAGGCGAATTGCAAACCATGCGGTCGCCCCGGTTGTCACTAGGCTGTAATGACCCTGGAACTCGGAATCACGATGAAATACGCTGCAAGCAAACTAATATATTCGAAACAGCCAGAAACCAGGGCGAGACTGACTGCACAGGGTGAAATCGCTGCAAACAAGTAAACTAGCCATATCACACCATGACAAATAGTCTGACTGTTCATTCTCCGATCTTATCTGGGTCAGTGTGGGAAACTCGGATGCTTATCTCTTGAACCCTTGTGGCACGATCTGGCGAACGGACCCAACCCGAACCTGCACCTGGGGTTGGCTTGGCAAAGGTCAGGGCCGACCCATCTGGCCTGCGGTCCAAAACCTCAACCAATAAGCCTACCTAGAGTCTCCGTGACCCCTTAAAAAATAATAATAAATAAATAAACAAAAAATGACCCTTTCCTTTGGGCAATGGCCCAATTTTTTAAGGGTCATGGAGAGTCTTGGTAGGTCCTCCAGTAGAGAGGTTAGAATAAGGTGTAGTCTATTAGTAGGGTAACCCTCCCAAAAAAAACGGGGCAAGAAGGGCACTACTGGGGGACCTAGTCAAGATTAGAGACCCCTCCAGGTGCTTGGTGTTTTTTGTTGTTGGTTCACTTCCCTTTTACACCATCCCAAAAACTGGTCGGCTCCTACTGAGAGGACCACCCAAATGAATATTCCTGGCAGTGTTAGCGTTAAAACAACCAATAGGACTACCCCAAACAGATTCAAGTGTTCGGGGATTAGCTCAACGGCTGGCCACCGCAACGAACAGGAGGCTACCAACCACTTCGCCTAGGTCCTCCAGCAGAGAGGTTAGAATAAGGGCACCCTTTTTCTGTAGTCTATTTTAGTAGGGACACACACGCACTTCCTCAGTAGATTGGCTAAACAAGTCCAACATTTTGCCTGCCACTAAAACAGTCTTCCCAAGCAGTATGACGTGCTTCTCAGGATCCAAATGGGTGCGTTCATAAACATAGAAACCTGAAACAAACTCTGACAAATCAATTCCAGACACATATATCCCGAAATATGAGGGCTGCGCTTTTGCTCAACGCTGTTGTTGGTTGATAGGTTTGCAATACTTCCACAAAATGCTTCAACGGGGCCGCACAGGCTTTGAACGGGGGAAAACACCACCTTACTTAGCAGGTTGTTGCTCAAATCACTGCAATTTTAGCACGCTCCTCCTGGCGTCCTTCTGAAGAGAGCTAGGGTCGGGTTGAGTTAAGCAACATGCCCAACCTTGATGGAGACACCTATGTGCCTCACCACCTGACCTCTGCTTACGAGACCAGGAGATGGAGTACCGTCCTCGTGCAACTTGAGCTTCTCCTTTGACTCTTCGATCACCTCGGTCTCAATGTTGGATTCGATCTGCTCGGTGTCATCATCACGGACCTTCTCTGACAATAATTTATTTGTCCATTGCTCCTTGAGCTTGAATGTGAGGAACAATGCAGGATCAACCAATCGAAGCCAATATAATATGTAAACAATACAGGCAGCGAACTTACACTTATAACGTTTCGCTCCATCTCTTGTCATCTTGATTCTATTTTTTTATGGGAGCCCGACATATCTAAGTGCTTCTAATAGAAAAAGCCACTGGAATTTTCAGGTGAGTTGGTTGCTAGCGCGCCAAAGGCCAAGACCCCCCCCCCTCCCAAAGCCGCCTGCCGGGGCCCTTGGCCTCGGTGACTCTCGCGGCTTGAAACTTGGGCTGGGCGGTTCAAAACCTACCTGGAGTCTCCATGACCCTTAAATGGGGGTCATGACCCAAAATAATGGGGTCAATGACCCATTTTTAAAGGGTCATGGAGACTCTAGGTAGTTCCTCCAGTCGAGAGGTTCGCAAAAATTGGTACCCACTGTTTTTCTGTAGTCTATTTTAGGAGGGGAACCCTCCCCAAAAAAAGGGGAGAGAAGGGCACTACTGGAGGACCTAGAAATGGTTTGGGTTGGCCAATCCGCTTTTCCATAATTCTTTTAGGCAAGCCACCGCAAAAAAAATGAGGGACCACTTTCGTAGCTAAAGGAAAGGATTAAGGATTGCAAGTAAGGAACAGCCCGATTGGTTTGGATTCACAAACACGTCACATCAGGGTATGTGTCCGGGAACCCGCAAAATGGGCTTCGCTGTCCTTTTGGTGTCCCTTCAAATTCATCCAACAGAGAGACAGGTTTTCTTCCAAATGAGGGCGGCAACCGCACATATGTTGGTTGCCACGTTGGGCAGTGCTTGCAGTAGGAAGCGTTGTGCGGCGCAATCAGCAAATGTGTGCTGCGGAAGCAACGGGCTGAAAAACCTAACGATGAAAGCCCAGAACTCCCCCCCCAACAATTCCCTAACGAACCAGCAAGGTGCCATCCCAAACCAAACCAACCCACCCAAACGAAACACAATGGTTTTGAGCACGATGCTTTTCGACGAGATCGGTCGGAGATCAGACTGGGGGACTGGCCGCCTCCATGCCTCGGCAGAGAGGACCATGGCCAAAGGAATCAAGGTGATTTTTCCTCGCAGATCTTGGGGCCTGCGGGGGGAGCCCAAATACGGCCTTGTTCATTTGGGCTCCCTTCCGAGCCCCAGACTCCCTTCCGCCAGGAGGAGCTCAATTTGTACTTGCTGTTTCCCCTGCAACCCTTTGAATGCCCGAAAGGGCACCCGAAAACAAGCCCCACATAGCCCGTCCACAACCATTCCCCTGAATGTTCTTCTTTTTGTTGTGTCTGTGTGGTCGCTCTTCTCGGCTGCTTTTTGTTTTTTTTTGGGGGGGCGAGGTTGTTTCCCCGGGGCCGGCTCGACTCCAAAACCCCTCGCCGGGCAGCTGGAGGTGGGCAGCGGGGGCGGGAAGGCGCCTGAGCACGCGGAAGCCCCGACTTGAAACCAAAGGGGAAACAAAAGCCAGAGACAACTTACCCCTTGAAACTCCAAGCCCTGGGGAAGAAAATCTTTTACAGACATATAGCCCATGTTACCCAAAAAGTTGAAAAGTTGTGTTTTTAAGAGGCAAGGAAACAAAAGCCAGAGACAATGAAGGGAGAAACAACCGGGAAAATGGCCCTGGAAAAATCGGGGAAGTGCTAAAACCAAGAAAACACAGGTTGAAATAAGCTTGACTGAAATTAGGACCCCAGCAAAAACATGTGTTTGTTGCCTCTGGTTGGTGGAAAAGAAGCCCCCCCCCAAAAAAAAACAAAACCTAAAAACAATAATAACTAAACGGTGCGCTAACTCTGGGGAAGGAATGGGAAAACAGCTGGAAAAATGGTCGCCATGGAAAACTCCCAGAAGTCAGAAAAGCCTAGTCGAAGGTTGAAACAAAGGGCAGTGGCAATTACAAACAATTTCAGCACCACAAATGAGGCGCCCACACACAACCGATAATCAACCTGCAAAGCTGCCGGTACACAAATACCACCAATCTGTGGACATGCTCGTCTTTGTTTCGCCAAACGAATTCGTGGGATTGTGTGAACCATGGTTGAATTTGGGGAGCTTTTCTGAGAATCCCAAAACCGCTCGAACGCCGGGCTTCTTCCTTCCAACACACAAGGTTGCAGCCACAGGTTGGTTGAAACTGGGAGATGGTGATTAACTAAAAAGGAAACTTCACATATCTCTTAGCCCGTTGCATCTTAGAGCAGATCGTGCTTTGCAGCGCCACGACTGGACACAACCACACAAGGCAAGAGTCAGATAAGCAGATAAGGACAAGTGACTATAACTCCAAACTGGAATTCTTCCTCTGGGGATCCCCAGTCAGATCCCTTCATGCCTCGTGATGCCTGGGCGTGCTATGGTTTAGCCAAACCATGGCAAGGGCAAATAGCGTAATTACCCCCCAAGCATTGCTCCCTTCCTATGTAGCTAGGCCAAGCAAAATCTGAACTTATTATCCATCATGAACATGGTCTTTTCAAAAAGCATCAAGTCCAAGTCAGGGAGTGAGCATAACTAGGTCCTTTCAAGCCATTGGGACAAGCTTGGCACAGCTTCGGAGAATGGCCAACCAACTGGGCTTACTTTGCCAAATGACAGAAATGGCGCTTGCTTCTTGCCAAGCGGAGCAACCATTTTCCAAGCTCCCAACTGAAATGCACTGACTCATCTGCTCTTCAAATGCTTGCTTTTGTATATATATATATATATATATATTATATGTGTGTCTGTATTTTTTCTGGGGGGGGGGGGGAAGTAAGAAAAGTATTTTTTCAGCCGCACTGAAGCGCAACCAAGCTGCGATGCGCCAACATCCACCAATCCAAGAGTTTTGGGCTCCCGAGCGACTTTTTTTTGCGGGCGGGTGGGTAGCTATTTCCCAACCACTTGGTAGGTTTGAAGGGACTCACTTGCCCAGGAACCCTGACATTAAAAGGATAACCTGGTGGAACCTTGCTACACATGGACCAAATCCAAGAAACCAAATTGTCAAAAGGTTGGCTCTGGGCAACTGGGTTCACCAGGTCTTACATGATGGCTTCCTCTGGTTACTCGCACTGGGATAGTCTTCAAGGGGCTACCCCTGCAAAGTGGGCGAATCTGAAAAAGACCAGGCCTGCTCAACATGGCAGAGCTGGCCAACCCCAATCCACAAACCCTAGAAGCAAACCACTACAAATGGGGCTCCTCCAAACGAGTCCAAGACATCCTGGCGAGAAAGGAGTTTCCAAGTAAGACCTGGGTCTAAGTAAGTCGACCCATCTGGAACATCCACAGCTTCAATAAAAAAATGCGCTCAGACCGATGCTCCAAGACGGGGACCCTTACATTATACACCTGAACATTGCAATCTTGTAAGGAGCCCTGCAGGACTCCTGAGGAGAAGGATCTTGCGCCCAACAACCCAGTTCAATCAAACCTGAGGCTGGGGTCCCGGCTGTCTTCCGGCAGCGGCGGTGGCTGGTGCCTAGGGTTTGCTGGGGGCATGGTCTCTACTTCTGGTGTGAGTCTTCCCCACAAAAGGAATTCGGACTTATAAAGAAATTTGAATTCCAAGGATCACCGGATCACCCCCCCCTCCCCAATTCCATTTGTAGGATGCAATTTCACCTTCAAGGTTGCCACCACTTGGGCCACTGAATTTAAACATTTCATCATGCTGAAAACACTCTTGCTTAAATCAACAGTCTCACTGGCTGAGTGGATGGCCCCAAAAAAGTCCAAACTCTATATCTACCACCAAAATGGTCCAAACCCAAAAAGTTTGAAGTTCATGAACTCAGGAAGTGAGAACCTCATGCTTAAATCGACCTCATGCTTGGTGCCCCGCAAAGGTGGCGACCAGGATCTGATTTCGAAGCCAAAATTTTGCCCCAGCCCACTGCGAATGCGCTGCGCCAGGCCCCGCAGGTGCCGAGCGCACCCACGGGCCTCCGATCTGAATTTACTTCTTAGTCTCGTCATGGCCGGCGCGCGGAGCTTTTTTCGAGCAGGGGTACCGAGTTATACCTGTCTTCCATTTGTTTAAGTCCCCGGAAACTTACTTGCCCAAAGGACCTGGAAACAAAAGGTGAACCTTTTGGGACCTTTACTAAAAATGGTTGCCAAATCAGGGAAACCAAAAGGTCAAAAGGTCGGCTTTGGGCAACTGAGGAAAAAAAGGGGAAAAACAAAAAGCATGTCCAGTAGTGCTAGATTCCATTTAAACCCAACAGGAGAAAATGAGCAGAAGCAACTGGAAGCCCTCGAACTTGATTTGGCACTATCCCCAACCTCCAAAGATGCCCGACGACATCGAGCACTCCGGCCCCCAAAGGGTCCCAGAGGGCCATTCTGCCGCGGATGAAATTGGGGCTATTCCCTGCAAGCATACTCCCGTAGAAAGACTACTTTCCTCTTGGAAAGGGCCTTTTTGCACTTCCATGTTAACTGTTAGTTGGTGGGAGGGTAAGTGGTTTCCCATACTCCCTAACCAAAAAAAAAAACGGCCGGTCCCAAAGCGACATGGAATCATTTTATTGGCCCCGAGGTACATTCCACATGAACAGGACTGCCCTCTGCGATACATTTTTTGTCACAAGACTGCATTGTGAACGGGGTTTGGTCTGATACATGTACTGGATATATCGAAAGTGGCTTCGCGGATGCATCGGAAAGAGAAGCTCACCTTCCAAGAGAAACCCACGCCGGCAGGGACAAACCAATAGGAAACCCGTCCATCTTTAATTCGGGATCCCCTACAGTAGCTCCCGCCTGGGCGGAGGAGGGGTCACGGACCGCGCCTGGGCCGCGGGGATACATTTCAAGGCGCCCGGCATTGCAAGGGATCAAAGGACTTAGTACGACATCTTTGGTAAAGAAACCCTCTTCGGGTTCCTTGTTACAGTGCAACCACAAGGAAACCACTGGTTGGCTCTCCCTATTTAAAAACAAACCCATGGAGGGCTCTTGATCTTGGTTGACGTTGGAAGGGGAGTAAAAAACATGTATTTTTTAGCAGTTCAGTGGATTTGGATTTCAACCACTAAGCCACAAGAAGCAAACATGTGAAATATGTTTCCCAACAACAACCATGTGATGGCCAAGGGAACAACTCCAAAAGCATTGTTGAGCACCCCTCGAAATCTCGAAATGCACGCAGGGCCAAGCACACCATTCAGCCAAGCCGGAGGCTAAACCTCCCCTGTGATAGTTAACTTTTTGGGGCCATGACTAAAAATGGTTGCCAATATTGGAACACCAAAAGGTCAAAAGGTCGGCTTTGGACAAGTCAGAAGGAGCCCCAGCAAAAAGTTGCGAACTTTTTGCTGGTTGCAAGGAAATATGAAGGGAAATCTGAAAAGTTAAAGCCTAAAGATCCAACCCAATAGCGGTAGAGAGGAGAGGCTCCTGGAAGCAACTTTTGGGGCACCGCACGCCATCCCAACTACTGATTCTGAGAAAGGGATCCGACTCATCTCTTCACTGCTGAGGGCCCGAGGTGGGGATCTGACTCATGACCTCTCAAGCCATAGCCGATTCATATAGAGACACCAAAGCAGTAAAACCGCGGGAGTTAAAACCGTTGGAGTCATATCATCAAAGTGGATGGCCAAGGCCTGTCTTTCGACTTTTGGCGCTTGAACCCGAGTTCGACAAATGGCCCCTGGGGCTTATGCCATGAAAGCGACTTGACAAATCGCCCATGCGGTGCAGCGATAGGATTGTAGGATACCCTCGCCCCCACCCCCCCTGACGAATTTCATGCCAGAAGAAGCCCTTCAGCGAAGACGGATTCGGATCCCTTAGGGTACCCTGACTTGGAGCCGCAAAGCGAAGCCGAATCCCTTTTTGGGCACCCTGACTTGGAGCCGCAAATCGCTGGAGTTCGTTGACCATTCCACGGCCTCTTTTTCTTCTCTTCCGGGTCTCTAGGCAAGGTGCTCCAACTGTTGCCCTGAGTGTTGCCATGGAATTGTCCAACTTTCTGGCCTGCTAAATGACGAAACCGACATGCTTAGAGTAGGTCAACACAACTCGTAAGATTCACAGGCTCAGCCCAAAGGACCATCAGAAATAAAACAGCTGATCACCCTTTGGGGGCCATGAGTAAAAATGGTTGCCAAAACTCAGCCGCCCAAAGGACCCAGAAATAAAAGGATAACCTTTATGGGCAATGACTAAAAGGTAGTCCAAATTCCGAAAACCAGAAGGTCAAAAGGTCGGCTTTGGACCACTAAGAAAATGAGAAGCCAACAAATCCTATCAGGCTGGTTTTGGGCAACTGAGGCGGATTTGGCGGATCTGCACTCAGGCTTTGACAGTCGCATGGCTCTCCCGCTCCCGCTTGTCGCGGCCATTCTCCTCGGTAGGCGAGCAAAACAACTTGCCTTCTCTTGCCGGACTGGGCAAAACACTGAACACGACAAACGGTGACAAACAGAAAACAACAGTATCAGTATGTTTATTTGTGTACATGACTATATGCAAAATGTTTTCTTGTGTCCATGCGCCCATGCGCTCGTGTGTGGTGTCCATGTGTTGTACAGAAAGAGATGGCAAACACACATCTCGACAAATAAATAGCTGCGCCAATGTGTACATGTATATATATATATATATATACATAGTAGTCAATATGCGCACGGCAACATCTTCGGGGTGCCCGTGTAATATTTTAGTGATAAATCCCCAGAGAGTCGCCCAGGGAAGGCACGACAACTTCCCAACTCAGGATAGCCCGACCAAGCCCCTGAAGACAAACAGAATCTACACACTCGGATGTGCGAATCACATATAGTCAGGGATCCCGGTGTGTCCTCCTCACACACACCAAAAAAAAGAGAAGAAGCTCACTTTGAAGTCACAACCAATCGGTGGAAGGAAGTGCTTTGAGCAAATGGAATCGGAGGAACTGCCCAGTGCAGACTCAACTGGCCCAAGCCTTGGGCCGTCTGAGGCTGGGGCTTTGGGCCTACTTCTCTCACGCTTCTTCTCTTGGCTTTTGGCCTTCGACCGATCCTCAGCGGGTTCTCGGCGCGCTTGGATTTCGCGCGCATGTTTTTTCCAGAACATCAAGTTGTCCAACGATGTGTTTCATCGGTTGGCACATTTGGGAGGAACGGCTATCTCGTGTATATGTATATATATATATATGTATGCTGAAATGCAACCCCCCCCCCCCACCCCAATTTCGCAGGAATTTCTCTGCTCACAGCTGGCCAAACAAACAATGGGAGGTCAGCTGAACGCTTGTTCCGTGCACCGGCCAGGTTTGGAGGCAAACAACTAACAGAATTGACGCTTCACTTTGCCAAGTCTCCCGGTCACGGCCGTCCCTTCGATCTCGGCCTTTGCGCTCGCGCTCACGATCCTTGTCGCGGGACCTGTCCCTACGGTCCTTATCCTTTCGCTTCTCCTTCTCCTTCTCCTTCTCTTTCTCCTTCTCCTTCTCCTTCTCCTTCTCTTTCTCCTTCTCCTTCTCCTTCTCCTTCTCCTTCTCTTTCTCCTTGTTGCGTCGGCGCTCCTCGCGTTCCCGCTCTTTCCTCTTCTCCTCTTCTCTCTCCTTTTCCCTCTTCCTCTCCTCCTTCTCTTTCTCCTTCTCCTTTTCTCGTCTCTTCTCCTCTTCCCTTTCCTTTTCTCGCCGCGCCTCCTCCCGCGCCTTCATTTCTTGGTCGCGGCGCCTCTCTTCCTCACGCTCCTTCTCTCGTCTCAGCTCCTCTTCCCTCTCCTTCTCTCCTTAGTCGTTTGTCCCTGCACTAAGTTCAGCACTTGAGCGGCATATCTCATGGAACGACTAAAAGCATAGGAGTCCTTTTGGGAAAATAGATGGCCCTGGCAAGTGAAACAACCAGGTCAACCAGGGCCATCTATTTTTCATCCAAACAACCAAAAATGACACCTATAACTAAAAGCCTAAAAGCTAATCTAGAAGCTAAAACGTCTAAGGATACGGCTGGGATCCGCCAAGTCTCGTATTCTTTGCTCTTCCCTCTCCAGCTCTTTCCTCCTTTCCTCACGCTCTTTCTCCCGCCTCTTCTCTTCCTCCCTTCTCCTCTCCTCGCGTTCACGCTCTTTTCCTTGGCCCGAAAGGGCGCAACGAACATCGACTCATCGACTTGCCTTGCATGTGGTTTTGGACGAAAATGACCAAACAAAGATGCACAATGGATAGAATGCACTGGACAACTGACCCAAGAGGGAACCGGAAATGCATGGATGACAGGTGACTCCAGGCCGGGAAATCCCGGCAAGTTGCCACCAGGCAGCTGAAACGCCAATTCAGGATTCCCCGGTTTTCGCATGGCGTGAGAGCAGCGCGATTTCTGGGGCGCCCCTTCTTTAAGACACAAAGCTGAGCCTACCAAACAAGGAGAACACAAGAGGTGAACATCCCGCTGCTGGTCCAGTCTCAGCCTCCCAGTGTCAGGCCTCCTGCCACAAACAAACACAAACACAATCACCAGCACCAGCACACAGACACAGACACGCATACTCACATACACAAATACAAAACACACACAAACACGCATAAACACGAAAATGGAGGAACACCCAACCGGGCAAACAACTCAAAAAGTAAGTTTGGTGATGGTTGGGAAAAGCCAAGGGTCTCCTCTCCTCTTCAAGCTCTCGCTCCTTCCTTTGCTTTTCCTCAAGCTCCTTGGCCCTCTTTCGGGCCTCCTCCTCCTCCTTCTCTCGTCTCCTCTCCTCTGCTTCTCGGGCCAACCGCTCCGCCTGTCCAGCGTTCCAGTGGTCCCAGTGTTCGAGGTGGATGCCCTATCATAACATCAACACGGCCAACGAAACCACACAGTGACATATACCCAAATGAATCTGGCGGAGATATGGTGAGCCACACGTGGGGGGGGTTGTCACCTAGCTAGTCAAATTCAACAAGTCCCAACACGCCTGACCATTAGTTTCATTTTAAGAAGCACCCCCCGCCAAAAAAAACACACACACACACACAAACACACACACAAACACACACACAAACACAAACACAAACACAAACACAAACACAGACACAGACACAGACACAGACACAGACACAGACACAGACACAGAAACAGACACCAGACACCAGACACCAGACACGAGACACCAGACACCAGACACCAGACACCAGACACCAGACACCAGACACCACACACCAGACACCAGACACCAGACACCAGACACCAGACACCAGACACCAGACACCAGACACCAGACACCAGACACCAGACACCAGACACAGACACAGACACAAACGCAAACGCAAACGCAAACGCAAACGCAAACGCAAACGCAAACGCAAACGCAAACGCAAACGCACACACACACACACACACACACACGCACACACACACACACATGGCAGTTGTCCTTTATACCATTTGACCAAGCTGGCCCCATGATTTTACAATTGTCAACGTCAGCTCCTTAGCAGGTTAAAGGAAAACAACCCCAGTTTCTGACTTTGATTACCCCTAGAAACCTCGTTTGCTTTCTGCTCCCCTGCTAAAAGGATAAAACTGTTTAGGGGAAAACCCATTATCATTGGTTGGCAAAAAGTTGTTCAGTCCTAACATCCCTTGGCAAACTGCACCAAAGAAAAGAATCACCACCCCCTTAGAGTCCACCACCCACCGTAGAGTCCATATGATTCTTTGGAACAACCACCTAAGTCCTCCAAAGAAACGGTCAAACAAATGACCCAAGCCAAGCCCCAACAAATTGAAGCCGCGAAAACAGCACGCGCCATCTTTGCCTCCTTCTTCTTCTCCTGCCTCCTCTCCTGTCGGCGCCTCGCCTCCTCAGACGGTGAAAAGGAAACCGCGGAGGCTCAGTTGGGCCCCAGGAATACTTCCATTTGGTGTTTCGACCCCTGGAAAAAACAAAACATATTTCCAGTAGTGATAGGTTCCCATTAAAACCAACAGGGGAGAATAACACATATTAATTTCAGCAAAGGGAAGAATATAAACGGACCCCTTTTAAAGATCGGGACCTCCAGCGAGTTCCTCAAAGAGCGGGAGGGGACGCGAAATTGCACACAAACTCGTGGTGGCCCTGCTTGAGAGTGGATCAAAAATGATGAAAACTGATCAAACACCAGCTCAAGCCCGTTTTGGCCCATTTTCCGGCCAATTGTTGAAACAACACATTGTAAGCTTCCCTCTAAACCAACCCTATAAAACATGTACCCTCAAAAAACACATTGAATGACCAGCTTTCTAGTTTCCTACTGGGCTGCCCTCAGATCCCCCGCTAAAAGTGACTAACTTTTAGTGGGTTAAATGGACACTCCCACTAAACAACAAAAAGCTGAAAGGCTAAGGAACCGGATGGCTGGGAGCCACCAAGTAAACCAACACAAGCTTTTGTTTCGCTCCCTTCCCTTGCTGCACCTCCTCCTCTTTCTCCTTCCGGCGCTCAGCCTTGGACGACTTCTCCCGCTTGGCCTCCGTTTCGTCGCTTTGCCACGGGCAAACGATCAAGGGACTGATGCAGGTTCTCCCGTTTTGCTAAAACAAGCAAAGGCAAAAAACAAAAACGAAACAAAAACAATGCCAAACATAAACAAAAACAAGCAAACACGAAACAAACCAAGCAACTTCGTAAATCAAAATACATGCCATGCCGTCGAATCTTAGTAGGTTTTCTCATGTTAGGCCCCATCATCTCCAAAGCATTGGACAAATGCCACATGAACCAGATTCACACCATTCATCTCGAGACTTGCGTCCCCATCCCCAATTTCCTGGCAGCTTTCCTACATACATGCCCACTTCATACCCTCACATGACCGGTATGAAAGAGGTATTGCTTCCCTCTTGCACGGGGCACAGCATTTGAAGCCAAAGGCTCAAAGGGCGTGTCTATGCGAGCTTCGCGGCCGAAACCGCCTCTTTGTCCTTCGACTTGGACTTCTTCTCCTTCTTGGGCTCCTGTCAATTTTTCCGGTTGCTTCAGCTAGGTCCTCCAGTAGAGAGGTTAGAACAAGGGCACCCTTTTTTCTGTAGTCATTTTAGTAGGGGCCTCCCCAAAGAAGGGTAAAAGGGCACTACTGGGGACCTAGAGAAGAAATCTCAAGTGACCTTGGCACAACTGTGCCCATCTCCTCGCCAACAGGTGGACCCCACCTCCACAGAGCCCCCCCTCACGGTCAACGCATTGTCGTGATCCAGCCGACCTTTCTTTGGGCTCTAAACGTTGTTTGCGTTGCCTGGGGTCTCTGAGGGTGGGTTGCTGTTGGTTGCGGCTTCGAAAGCGGCTTCGCGTCATCTCTCCTCTTTCTTCTTGGCCTGCAGCTGGACAGAACCGAACCCAGCCCTGGTTTGAGGACCAGCTGGAAGCTCTTGGCCCATGGGGTTTTCAGGATTTGTATTATCAATGGGTGGCGGCCCCCCTGTTTTGGGAACATTCCCTATTGATCCCATTGCGAGCGCCTTGGTGATAAGGGGTTGGATTAAACCTCACCAAGTCAGGGACGTTAGAATCATCCGAAAGACTGGCGGGAAGAACCAGTGTCTAGCGACAGGAAGCGACTTTTAGCTGGAAATGATCCAAGAGCCCAGCCATGCGCTTGTCCGGGTCAGGGGTAGGTTCCTGCGATTGATTCAGTACAAGGGCCGGGGCAAACATCAACTTTGGATTCTTCCGGAAGACCGCGTCAATGCAAGCGCCTCAAAAGTGGTGGCACTTATGGGTCCCAATCCATTCGAAGGTGACCTCTGCGGGATTCTTTTGGGGGGGGGCCGGGCAGGGAGGTTGGACCTTCCTCCCCCCGCCTCCGTCTTGGGTCTGGCCTCCTTCCTCTTTGCGAGCTCCGCCGCCTGGAAAAAAAACTCACCCCACACAAAAAAAAAACGCAAACACGTGGACCTGCCACGCACTAACAGTCACTAGATCTTTTGGAAGAGACCACATTGTGGGTCAAAACCAATGGTACCATTTTGGGGTGGGTGCACCCATTTTGGTCTATTTTAGTGGGGATTGGGATGTTCACTGGCCACATACTACCAGTCACCCCTTTTTTGGAAGAGACCACATGAGCGGGGGATCCAGATGTGCATCCCCTGCTCGTGCTTGGCATGTCCGGACTTTTTTGCACCAAGCGCGAAAATCCACTTGGGGGCAGGGTTCAAGATAGGACCATCTTCCTTCCATTTGCTTGAGTCCCTAGGGAAAAGATATGTCCAGCAGGGATAGTTCCCCTGAAAACCAACAGGAGGAAATACAACATACGGTGGATGGACGAAGTCCTGCACCACCTAAGAAACCACGGAATCGATGATTCCCCTGTAAATACCAACAAGCAATGCAGCGATGATTCCCCTGTAAACACCAACAAACAATGGTTTCCCATGGTTTCAAAGTGGTGTGAAATGGATTTCGTCCAGCCACAGTAGTCTTAAGCAGATGGAAGTCTTGGAACAAATTGTGCATATAGAGAGAGACCTAATTTTCAGAGCCCCCGCCCATAAGCCTCCCAACAGCATTCTCTGAAACAAGTCCATCATACATTTCCCAGTGCGTCTTCAAATGCGTGGAACATGATATTTACAGTTGTTCACTCCGTTTGAAGCAGTCTTATCCAGAAATCTGCTGAGGTTTGACTTGGACGAGATACACTCCCCCCCCTCCCCCCTCCCCTCCCCCCTCCCCGTCCCCTTCCCCCCAACCACCCTAAATTGGCCCAAATGCCCTCACCTGCCTTTCGGCGCGCTTCCTCCTCCTCCTCCTTCCCTTAGTTTTTGCGGCAAAATGGTTGGATCGTGGGACCATGTCCACAAGCTTCCAAGTGCTTAAGGTGCCATCAAAGAATCAAAGAATAGGACCAAACAAGCCATGACCGAGTCAACACATGATCGAGCAAAGAAGGCCTCATCCAAAAAATATGTGAAGGCTAATTCCCAAGTGACAAAAAACATAACGTTCAAGCCAATAGAGGAACAAAATCCAAGCAATTTCCGTAAGAGCGTGAAAGTAAGGTTTCTACAAATAGCATTTCCGGGCTGCACAAGGACTCCCGCAACCACGCTGAACGGAGGCTTTGGACGCCTGGAACGCGAACTCTGCGCACAACCCAGAACTCCAGCGACAGCTCATTCTGGCGCTCGACTGCCCTCCGCGCCATTTGTTTTGTTGACCCCGGCGGGGAAAAGGGACGGAAAAAGGAAAAAGGGGTGCAAGCATATGCGTCCTTGCAGGGGAAACAGATGGCCCTGGTAGATGATTTAACCACCAGGTAAACCAGGAATCGACACCCATCTATTTTTCTACCAAATCAACCAAAAAGGACACCAAAAGGGGCGCAAGCTTGATCACCGGCCCCTGCCCACATTTAGGGTCTAAATTAGAAGGGATTGGCGGTGTTCCTTGAAACCATGGCCATGGGAAGCCTGCAATGCCCACCCCCCAAATGGGAAGAGTGAGGGGGCCCCCTGAGTACCTGGCGTTTTTTTTTTTGTGGTAGAGGTATCCATCCAGAGATGGTTCAATCAATGCGCTGGGGAATCAAAGGTTTCCTTCCATTTGGATAAGACCCCTGGAAAAAATGAAAAAAACACGTAGTGATAGATTCCCTTTAAACCAAACAGGGAAAAATAACAACATAATCTTAAGCAAATGGAAGCTTCAGAGTGGTACCGTAAGATCCACTTGCGGAAGCGGCTGTCTTCCCCAAAGAAATGCCGAACTAAAGGAAACTCAGATGCGCCCTTCAGCCAATGCCGCAGTTTTGCACAACATGGGCTCACAAATTGAAAAGAAGAAACCTCCACGCGACAAGAAACATCGACCAACTCTAAAGCATCTCCAAAACCAACAAGAAAGGTATTCTCGAAGGTTCGCTCGTTCTGGGCGCCCCGTCGTCTTCTTTCCTCCCGTTTCGCCGCCTGCACACGGAGGCCAGGAAACTTTTTGCCAAACTGACACTAGCGGGAAGGCAAATGAGTATCTGGGCTGTTGAGAACGGAGGCTTGGCCAATCCTACTCCATAATTTCTATTGTACCACTAGCAAGGAGACCCGCGTAACCAAAGGTAAGGATTTAAGGATTGCTTTGAACAGCCCATTTTATGTCACAATTGTCTTTGTTAGGGTAAGTAAAGGGGGTGACTAAACCAAACATGGGGACATCTAGTGCTATCCAACAACTCACAGGAAGAATTTGCCATCCTTTCCGGCTTCCTTTTTACTCGCTTGAAAATGGAAGGGGCTGGCCAAGTCCGGGTACTTAGCGCTGGCCCTTTTGTGAAAACGCCCAGCCCTAAAGAACTTGCAGAAAATGAGGCCTCGCTTCGTAGGTGTGGAAGTTCGGCAAATGGATGGTTGTACTGCGGATGGTTGCGAAATCCGCTTCTCGCACTGTTCAGAAGGCCTGGCGTCTGATGATGCCCCTGTACATGCCAACTTGACACGGTTTCAAAGTGGTGCGAACGGACTTCGTCCATCCACAGGGGGCTTATGTGCTCAGGTTAAGCAGATTCACAGGGGTGAAGCATGAACCTCACAAATTGGACATCCAATTCCGTGGTTCTGCCTCCTGACTTGAAGCCGTAGCCGCCCACGATTCGCCGGGGAGATCCCAAGATTCCCGGACGCATTCAACAGGCACCGAGACGGCCCGTCCCTTCCCAAGGCTTCGCGTCGGGGCCTGGGCCCCAAATCGCAAAACTCAGATCCTGGCCCATGAAAAATTTGCCTCCGAACAGATTGCTTCAGAATTTTTCGGTCCAGCCAACCACCCCAAAAAGACTTCTGCAAAGGGAGCCGCATTTTGAGTTGAGGATCCCTCTTGCCGGCCCCTCTTGCCGGGCGCCCCGGCTGCCGCTTCAGCGGCTCGGCGCTCCTTTCGGTCCAACTCTCCGAGTTGAGGGGCCAAGGGGGTTGAGAAGGATACGTCCGGTCAAGGGAATCCTCGTCTCTGGAAAAAGGTGGGCGGTTTTTGAGCTTATGGGCTCAATGGCCGTAGGTCAACACCAATGAAATCCCATTTTGGGGTAGGTGCACCGCCCATTTTAGTCTATTCTAGTTGGGATTGGGATGTTCGCTGGGGGTACGGGATCTGGACCCAAGGCCAAATGAGTCGGCTGTTTTTTAGCTTGTTTGGAGGAAACCGAATCCTGCTGGAAAGAAGTGACCTGGGGAAATTACTCTTGCAAGCTATGGGTGGGGAATGGCCTAGCCGGGATGTTGGGAATGAACCGTTTCGGGGCTCCCTGAAAGGAAACCAGAAGGGATAGTTTATGGGGGCCATACCCTCATTCCTTGCTGAGAACCGGCAAGATTAGCTTTGGGGCTAAATGAGTCAGTTGTTGGGTTTGGTAGGACATTTTACAGTTAACTTCCTGCACAAATTCCTGCAGCTGGTTTCTGTCAAGCAGAACCCAAAGAGGGCTAAGAACAATGTTCCTGTGGATTCGGGCCGTTGGTTTCTTATGACAGGACCAAATCAACAGCAGCCTTTCTAGGCTTGGCCTCGATGAATTTCCCAAGGATCATGGGGGGGTGTCAATGTTCCAAGCATCCCTACCATGGTCCAAGCTAACAAGTAATTTCCCTGTACCTTGAAAGCCATCGCAACCAACTCTGTTGGAAGTCCCCCGTTTTTGCAATTTCCCAAGGGAAAACCATAACGTGTCCCCAATGGTTCCCGAAGCTGGTTGAGTTCCCCGTGCTTTCCTTCGGCATATTCGGCTGCATGCTATCTCAGAAGCAGAATTTCACAAGTCCAAAACTTAAGCTTCCATTTGGTTAAGACCCCTGGAAAAAAAAAAAAAAAAACAGTAGTGATAGATTCCCTTTAAGACCAACAGGGGAAAATAAAACATACTTAAGCAAATGGAAGGAAAGCGAAGCAACGGCGCCTCCTCCTCCTCATCGTCTTCCTCTGATTCCTCCTCTTCCTCCTCAGCTTCGCTGGCGGATTCGGCCGCTGCGCTCGGCTCCTCCTCCTAGAGAAGTGCAGGTGGTGTGGAGCTTTTCGGCTAGGGGGGTCCTACTTAACTCACTCGGACCAACGAGCTTGCAATCCCCCACCCGGTCCATCGTCTGGTCCCTTAAGAAAAATCGAAACCGAAACAACACATGGCTGCGGGTCAAAAACGGGTACCCACAATTCAACCCTGGCAAATGGAAATATGAACTACAATCTCGCTGTCCCCTCAGCCACAGCCACAGCCACATGTGCCACAGCCACATGTGCCACCAAAGAAATGTCCTCTTTCCTAGCCCTGTTTTTCAGGCAGGTTTGGCATACCTCCAAGGAGTCCTCCTCGCTCTCGCTCTCGGAGTCGGATGCGCACCTGAGGAGCGTCAGACGGCATGAAATTCCGAGATTCAGCCTTGGGGACTGTGACAGCGACTTGGCCAAAACGGGACAACCAGCAGGCTGAAAGTTCGTTTCGGAACAGCTGAGAATGCATCCCTCAGAAACAAGCTTCCCACACTACCCATGAGCTGGCCCTTTGCCTCGGACATGAAGTTTGTCCATCCTTTGTGGGAGTTAAGTTGCAACAGGGATGCTGTCCTGAAACCGTTGTTGAGTTTCTTTTTGCACTTCAGTTGGCTCGGCCATACCATGTTGTGCATGAAAATCCCTGGATGAAATACATCACGATGGGGGCCTAATCCTTCGCAACCTAAGGGGCAAACAATGGGCATTCTCACTTCTCTACGCGGCTTCCGACGTAAACCACATCAACCTTCGGCCAGTCAAACCAAAGGTCGGGTTGATTCGCCCTGGGCCAGTGGTGCTGTGCAGCTAAGGCTCATGGAACTCTCTGACAAGGCCCCCGACAGTTGTGCGTTGTCTGTTGGCTTCGTTTAGAGGCAATTAAGAATGGGCCATTTCGCGCCCAGCGCGCAGGATATGAAACATCTGCCGCTGCCGAATGTTGCACTGAAGTCATCTAGGGCCACATTTCAAGGATCAAAGCTGCTGTCTGGGCTTCCATCAGGAGTCCTGCATATTCCATTTGGTTAAGACCCCAGGAAAAAGTAAAAAACATGTCCAGTAAAGTCCAGTAGTGATAGATTCCCTTTAAAACCAACAGGGGAAAAAACAAATATTCTTAAGCAAATGGAAGCAAAGGATGTATCCAACCAAGCAAAGACAAAAAAACAAAAAACGGATACACCAGAGCATCCGTGCCCAAGCTGGTCTCACCTCGCCTCACGCTCACAGCCTTTGGCCGGGGAGAGGCGGTGACGGGCGAGCGCGAGCGCCTGGCACAAAAAGCGATGGAAAACTTCCAGCCAGAGCCGTCCTGGTCAAACCGATGGGTTCCCTGGTCCCCACCCACTGCCCAGAAGGACCAATTCCTTTCTGGTGGTTCATCAAAGAACATTTTTTCCCGGCAGCATAGAATCTGGTTGTTTGGCAAACCACCAACAAGAACTGGTGGAGGCACCGATTCACACATGGAACTGTTCGACGAAAAAGGGGCGGTTCGACCAGCTTCCTTTTACAAGGACCTCTTGTCCCGAACGTCAGGTTCCGGCTGTGAAAAGGGTGGGGTGGTTAATGGTTTGTGAAACCAATATAAACCAGTGGAACCCATCTATTTCTGATGAAAGCAACCTGGAAAGGACACCTATGCTCTCAGCAACCAATTTGGAAGCGTACCGGGCCCTTCTCGGGAAAGGGGTTCCGTGCTCTTCCATGTGGGAGTGAGACTTTGACAGGATGCGCTTCTGGCTTAGGGAAAGAATCACCTGCACTTTCTAAAAAATTCAATGACCACCTTGGAAAACTTCTCAGGGCTTCCATAGCCTAAGGAGGGTAACCACCAACTAACAACCAACAACAAGACAAACAAAACCAGACGTAGGGAATTCTCAAGAGACCTCCATTTGCACAGCTGTTGCCCTTACCATTCACAGAACCCCCTTGGAAGACGGCCCTTTCCCAATAAGAACCGACACCCTCAAAAAAAAAACACACCCAAATGTGCGCGAACGTACCTGCTGATTGGCATGCCGCGGCCACGACTCTTTTGCCGCCGCTTTGCTCAGGCGGGTTCTCATGTTTGCAAGCTGCCCCAGTTCTTGGGCTCCGAAAAGAATATTGCTTCACAAGGGTTCAGTTCGAGTCAGCGGATGTTTCAACTGGCCCACACCAACCCGGGAAACTCGTAGATCCGAGATGTTTGATGGCTTTTGTCAAGTGGATTGACCACCCAAGCGCGCTACTCCCTGCGCGGCACGGCGCGCGAGGCCCGCACTGCGCGGAGGCGCACGCGCTGGGCAATACGCCGCAGGGCGGAGCAGGCGGCGCAAAGGCGCGCGGAGATGCGGGGCAGGCAGTCCTGGGATAAGGATGCAACCCCCCACCCCCCTCCTTCCTCCGACCCCTCTGGTTCCAACCAAAACCTCACTTGAGCTCATAGCCGGAAGCCATGGCCGGGATCTACGGTTCACCGGGGAAGCAATGAACCATCTACCAGCCGCGAAATGAACTTCGTCCATCACCCGCAAACTCTGCAATCCTTGTATGTTTAATGTAAACGCAGTGGGCTTCTATGAAAAGCCCTCTGCTGTTAGCTTCAGCTTCTTCATATAAACACAAAACACAGCGTTCGGCTGTATGTGTCATGTTTATGTTGATAAACAAATGGAACAAAAACAGAACCTGAAAAAAGAAAGATTGCTCCCCTTTTGCTTGGGTTGGGACTCTGCCAAGAAGCGAGAAACGGTTCCCCGCGTCCGGTGAACAAGCCCTGAGCCCAGGGCGTCCGTTCGGAGCCCCTGGTCGGTTTCAGAGTCAGAGAAAACTAACTACCAGCCCCTTGTACGCCCCAAGTGTATACCCTTGTCTAGGTTAAAAGAAGGGTACCCTTTTTTCGGTAGTCTATTTTACTAGGGAACCCTCCCCCAAAAAAGGGTAAAAGGGCACTGCTGGGGGACCTAGTTGTACTCCTGGCCACTCAAGCTTGGTACCCTCAGCCATGGCTGTGGATACGACATACGACCCTTCCACCAAAGTGGTGGAGCTACTGTGGATGGACAACAGCCTGCACCACCGTTCAGAAACCCTGGAAGAATGATTCCCCTGTCAATGCCACGGAACTGCGGTTCCCCGTTTTTCAAAGTGGTGCGAAATGGATTTCGCATTCAGCTCCCTGCCTTCAGAGTTCTGGAAAGCTACCCCTGTGATACCCAGGGCGGTTGTTTCCCACTGGGTGCTGACAGATGCTCAGAGAGCCGGAACTCCAGCGAGAACTGGAGTTCAAACAACGAGTTTCCAGGGAGACGCACGAAGAACGGGAAGCTGTGTGTGTGTGTGTGTGTGTGTGTGTGTGTGTGTGTGTGTGTGTGTGTGTGTGTGTGTGTGTGTGTGTGTGTGTGTGTGTGTGTGTGTGTGTGTGTGTGTGTGTGTGTGTGTGTGTGTGTGTGTGTGTGTGTGCGCGCGCTGTGTGCGCGCGCTGTGTGCGCGCGCTGTGTGCGCGCGCGCATGCGCGTGTGGAGTGGTTGCTTGTAAATGTTTGCTCGGTACAGTGGTGGAAAAATGGCTGGCCCTCTCTGTGCCTACCAAAGTGGCTGCTTCCTGTGACTGATCCGTCGCTTAAATACAGCCAAAAGATCTGGACATTGACCTCCCTGAACCTTGACGAGCAGATCTGGAAAACCCGGCAAGTTCCAAAGGTCAGAGTTGCAGAGATCCATCACCTGGCAATGGAACAGAGAGCCAACTGTGCTGGGAGCAGCCTATCTTGGAAGCATCACATACCGGAGATCCTGAACCTACGGATGGATGCTCTAGCTATTGGAGGAAGAAAAAAAAGCATGGACACATCATGCCAACCCAGCTAACTGGTGCCTGGCGCTGAGGGCCTTGCAAAGTTTGAAAAGACCAAAAGGAGAACCACCATGTTAGGGTGTAGCCCAAGCTCAGCACACACCCATGCCACACACCCATCATGCCCCAATCCACCCACCAGCTAAACAGATGTACCCAAACTGGAACCCTGGCAAATGGAACAATAACCCAAAGACCTGCGGCTTCCAGGTTTCAGTTCTTCCCATCCAATCGATTCGGCTTCCCACGAGCGCGCTCGGGTTGCCCAGGCTCGAAGCAGGACCCGGACGGCCCCAGCAGCGACCGGCCCTTGGCGTCCAGCAGCTGCTGATCACGGTGAATGCTCAGCACATCCTCAGCGAAGCGAGCGAGCCAAAAAGGCCCTGGCCTTTTTGCCTCTGCATGAGCCAGTTGGATGGTTTTTGTTGCGGTCATTCCATTTCACTTAGGTCCTCCAGTAGAGAGGTTAGAATAAGGGTACCCAACCTTTTCTGTAGTCTATTTCAGTCAGGGAACCCTCCCGCAAAGAAGGGCAAAAGGGCACGACTGGGGGGCCTAGTCACATTCCCTGAGCACCAGCAAGAAACAAGGTGAGCAAAGCCCAAAACCCATTCACCTTGAGGTCCAACATAGTTATGCAGGTTGTTATTGAATAAAGGCGGTACTCAATAACCCCAAGTGCCAGGTAGAACCAACTATTAAAATACACACAAATGGGTGTCGGATGCTTGCTCAAAACAGCAAAAAGACAGAAGGGCCAAAACAAACTGATGCCTCTCGGGGACCTGCCAAGGGAATATGCATCGTCTGCGGGGAACACTTGAAGCATAATACACATGGCGAAACCATTAGACACCTTCTCCTACCATGGCTAAGCGTGGTTTTAACAACCCCCGGCAAACATAGTCTAACAATTTAGGCACTTCTATTGCTCAGAAACCAAGGACGGGAAAAACAAACAGTGCCGCGCAGTGTCCACTTGGAGCTTCTCTGGCGTCAATACCTCGGAAAGTGCACGGCGTTGCCTCCAAATCGACAAATCCCCACTTGTTGCCAGGAAGGGGGCCCTCCGACAGGGAAATCTCCGTTTTCCAGTCCCCCCCTCCCTTCTAAAGTTACCAGTGGGGTCCAACGAGATGAGGTGGAGCGTCGTTGGGGGTCAGAACCCTCAGAGTTCCAGAGGCTTCCAGATGCGCCTGACCAGCCCCCATAGTCCCAAAATCACCAGGTCTACCCCCCGCCCCCCGGTCTATCGAAGTGGCGTGCCCCATCTTGAGCGATGTTGCTCTTGGAAGGCTCTGTCTTCCATTTCCGTAAAAAAATCCTCTTTCGCCGGGCCTTCTGGGCGCTCGGGAAAGGCGATGCTTCAGCTTTCGGGCCGCAGACCCCAGGCTGGAACATCAAAAGGTTACTGGTAGGGTTTCTCCGCCCTGGCTCAAACAGAGCCACTTGAACCGTCAATAGCTCCATGCCGTGGTCAACCAGCGCATGCCAGGGCTTGAATCCGGTTTGCTCAATTAATGCTCCAAGAACCCAGTCAGGGTGAAAATTTGGTCGGGACCCGCAAAGGAACACAATCCAAACCAACGCCGAATTGTTGGTCATCTAGAGGCTTGGAAGCCTTGAAGTGAACGCCTCATGCTTGATCTTACATCTAGGGGGTGATTCCCCTTTTGTTCAAGCATCGTGTTTTTTTTTTGAAAAACCGTTCGCTGTTGACAACCTGGGTTTTTGATGGCTTCCGGAAAAGATTTGGATCCCTGGAAAGAATGGTTGGAGGCCTCCCCTAAAACACAGGGCTTCCCCTCTGTTGTACCCTTTTAATGCTGTGGATGGACGAAATCCTGCACCACGAAAGAACCCTGGAATGATGATTCTTCTGTAAACACCAACCAAACGTTATGGTTTCTCATGGTGTTGAAGTGGTGCCTAAGAGAGCTTGGCAACCATCTACGGCAATGTTGACCCAATATTAATCAACCCCAGTCAATTACACGGGGGTGTCTAATTCTTGGTTTAGTGGGGAATTACACCCCCCCTATTGCTAAACTGGGGGTTGGTTAATATGGGGTCAACATTAGGTAAATACCCAGGGCACTGAAGGCGAGTCCTCAATCGACCAAAGAAACTCTTTCGGGAAAACACATTAACCAAACCGAATTTGACAAGATCGAAAACGAACCCTTCCCAGCACCTTGATATGGACCTATGACGTTTTTTTTCGGGGCTTGCGTTTTCGGGCCTTCCTGGACTGGGCCGCACTTGAAAAAAGCCTGGTGTCCTTCGAAGAGAAAAGCCACCTGAAACCCCAATCAAAAACAACTCATTCAATCCAAGGAGCGGAATATCGAATGCCTCGCCGTGGGCATGGAGGCTGGGGCCAAACCAAGGATTCCAAAGGCCAACCACCTGATTCGTTTTTGGTTGACCATTTTGGGGGAACGCAAAGAACAAGGGGTCAGAAACACACAAAGAACGCTTTCAAGTGTTCAGCTCCAGCCCCACACTTTTGCGCCTACCCCCTTCACTGCGCATCCCTTCAGCGCATGTCAAACACGGCCCCCCGAAAGCTTCCATCTCCAATTCACCAGGCGGCAATGCATAATTGAAACCACCTGAGCCTAGCCGAGCCGCAAAGACCAGGCAAACGCTTTCATCCTGAACACACCTAACCTATTTCTTATACACTTGCGCAGCCCGAAGAAGGAGTGTCAAAAATCAGGGTGGAGACCTGGCGAACATCAGTTGCCGTAAGGCTTCATGTCCACCACCTTTCAGTTGGTGTTCGCTGACAACCATCCAATGGTCGCCTAGGTTCATAGCCATGTGCTGCCCTATGGTGACACCAAAACTGGTTGGTGTCCTTTGTTCCCTGCGAATCCAACCCAAAGCAGGGCAGCTTCTGCCCAAACAGCAGGGCAGCTTCTGCCCAAACAGGCAGCATATGGCTCCACAAAATTCAGAGCTACGAGGTGCGCACAACAAGACTCACACATGTTCCACCTGGCTTGGTCATTGTTTTGAGGTCAGGCTGGGTCCGGTTAAAGTGACACCCCCTTACTTACATTTTACATCTCACAAGCATTTTCAGAATTGCTCAAATGCTCACGAGAAATGATCCAAACCAGGCAGACTTGTTCTTGACAAATGACTTCAAGGGACGCAGTCAGAGCCCAAAACTTGGCGCAGACTTCGTTCTGGGTCAAAGCGACGGCAAGACTTCTCGAAGAAGGAGGCGCTGAGGCAAGGCCGCGGGCTGCAGTCCTACTTGACTCTGGGACTCTAAGTTGGGGGTGCGCTTTCTTGAGGGTGCCCTTTTTCGGGGTAGTTTTAAAGTACTTGAAAACATATTTGTTGGGCCGCGCACTTTTCGGCACTTTTGACACATCCCCAAGTGGTTTAACAACCATTGCTGCCACTACTTGGCCATTGACTTTTTGTTGTACTAAAATGGTAAGAAACTTGTGAGATGGCCTTGCCAAAACCTCCATAAGACCAGCAAGCAGAATCACCTCCTGAAACGGCTGATGGGCGTTAGGGCACGCTCGCCTATTTTGAACAAACCCGTGGCTGAGTCGCAATCGAGCTACCTGTTCGGTGGAGGCGTTGAGGTTTGTGTAGCAGGGTCCTTGGGTTCTGATTTCGTAGAAACACAGGAGCGGGCACAAGTTGGCACAATGCTGTGAGGGTGTTCGGAAAACACAGCCCCATGCCCGCAGCATTTGCAAGGGGCAGCCATTGCCAGGACGCATTGGTCGCTGGCTAAACCTACTTGGGTGTGACCATTGCAAGCTGCTGGTGGCCTTTGTAAATTTTAAATGTCCTCATCCTTTGGCGTTGGGGTGTAGATGATGCACTGCTGGAAGCCAACCTGCCGGAAGCACCAGTAGCGAAAGCAGCCCGCGTCTCTTCGGAAACACCCGTCTACCTCCTCGAAACTGGCAGCTTTTGGGAAAGTCTGCCGAGAATTCCCGGGGAGAGTTGGTGACGCAAGTAAACTCACTTCCCAAGTTGACTGGCCAAAAAAAGATTGAATTTTCTATTTACCACTAAAATGTTCTTTCCAAAAAGTTTTAAGTCCACCAACTCAGGAAGTGAGTAAAGCGCTTGCGCCGATGAACCAGCGACAGCCGCCCCGCAAGCCTTACAGGGAGCAAACCAACCCCCAAAAAGATCTGTGTGCAAAAAGCTGCCGCCGCCGGCACCAAAGCTTACCAACGTGCATGTTGGCAGGCCAACTTGTTTGCAGGCCACCCGCATAACAGGAAGAAAGAAGTAAATCTGCGATTTTCAATCAACGGTTGAGAAAAAAGAGCAGGGGCGCGTGCCAACAGGCACCCGTTTGCTTCCTGCAAGTATGAAGGCCATCGTCAGAAGTGCTTATTTGCATGTTTGCGTGCCTTCATTGTGCGGTGGATTGCGGGTGGATAAGGTCAGATGCAAGTGCTGCGATTCCCAAACTCACACGGCGCAATGTGGCTAGCCTGCCCTTGACTCCGGTTTTGGAGGAGCAGCTCCTTTCACTGCGCACAAAAGCAACATGACGGAGACCCCAACGCTTCGAACGTGTTTACTCGCAGCTTGGAGTACCGTTATCCATGCTTGGCACGCGACATCAAGCACTTCGCGTGGGATTTTCGACTTGCATGGCTTGGCAGCATCGCACGGATTTTCTAGATCAACAAAAACGAGAAAGCTCTGCAGAAACCTCAGTCTGCAGGGTTCAACGCACCTTCTTCGTCCAAACTATCGACGTAACTCCCTTGCTACTTTCACGTCGGATCCTTGGCGGTGACTTGCAGGTCTAGCCTTGGAGGGTGCACCTCCCTGTCAAGGCACGCCCTTTGAGGCAAGCTTCTGGCAACGGACAAAGCTTCCGCATGCCTTCCATCGCAGCAGCGAGTAAATGAGCCAGCCTAAACAAGAACACACCAGAAAGGTCAACACACAGGACTGACAATACCAGCAACATCTTTCCTTGCCGAGGAACCCAAATGCATGTCGCACTTCCGCAGGTTCAGTTCAGTTTGCTAAAATTGCAAAAGTGGCCAGCGGAAACTAGGAGAAAACCACACAGGAAACCACAAGCATAAGGCAATCCAGTTGGGTACAGCGTTGCATCGATAGGTGAATCAGCAAAAGGGGTTAACTTCGAGTTCAAGATCATGCACGGCGTGCGCAAGGCGTTTTCACAGGCGGCACTGGATTTCCCCTTCAACAGTTGCACTGTGGGCGTCAGGGGACCCACAACATGTTGGCTTTACTTGTGGGTTCCCGTTGAAACAGCCGTACAAGGAGCGCCCTCACACAATGCAAACCCATCTCCATTGAAACTGGCCGGCGGCAAACCCCCCCCCTTTACGCCGTGACGGGTAGGTTTGTTTCAATCAAAAGCCGGGGCTGCTGGAAAGGATATTTTTGTGCGGGGCAATTGTTCGGGCGTCCCATCCGGCACTTGCTATGCTGTGGCTTCTGGCGTCCAGTGACTATGAGATACTAGCTGGACTCTCCACCCTGTAGAAATGGTTGGTCATGACTCGAATCTTTCTTTTGGGCAAGGACCAACCATTTTTTAAGGGTCATGGAGACTCCAGGTATGAGTGGCCTCCTTGGCTGTGATCAATCATTTCCCCTAGTTTGCCGTGGCTTTGTTCGCCTTCACTATGCTCACTAGCTTCCATTTGGTTAAGACCCTGGAAAAAATATGTCCAGTGATAGGTTCCCTTTAACACCAACAGTGGGAAATAAACAATATTCTTAAGCAAATGGAAGATAGATAGATCTGCGAAAGGTGGAAGACGGCAAGCTGCGCGAAGTCGAGCAAGACAGCGCAGCCAAACACACCGGTTCCATCTCTTGTCGGGGTTCCCATTCGACCCATAAGAGCGGAATTGGGAGGAGTTCATTTTCATGGAGGCATGCGGCACCATGTGACAGTTGATTCCCACTAGCTTGCCTTTGCCTATGGAAACCTACTTTTTGAAACGTGCTCGAGGGACCAAGCATAACTGAGATCCGCCGACCGAATACTGCCGCAATCTCCGGACGAGAATGCGTTGACCTGGTGGATTCCACGAACATGAAGCAAACAAATATAGTAACCCCCAAACCATAACAAAGGCTTCCGTGGCTTTGCTGGCTTCATATTGAGGGATCCAGGCAAAACCTTCAATTTCCAGATTTGAGGCGCCAAAAGCAAACAACCCAGGCAGCCGCGACCCTAAAGCGGCCAAGGAAAATTCGTAATCAAGACCACCACCTGCCCAAAGAAGAGCCGGGCCCCGAATCACTGGCCTCAGCCTTCAAAAGTTGAGATCCTTTCCGTGCGTTCTCCGGCTCTATTGCTGATTGTGGAAAATACTGTGGATGGATGAAATCCATTTCGCACCACCCAACAAAGCTTGGGAATGATGTGATTCCCCCTGTAAATACCAACAAGCAACGGTTTCAACCATGGGTTCCAAGTGGTGCGAAATGGGCCCACCGTCCAGCAACAGTATTTTAGCCCACCCTTGGCTTGCCTGTTGGAAAAAATCGGGAAGAAACGCAGCCCATGAGTATGGCAGGTTTTTTGTGTTTTGCCTAAAGGCTCTGTGCCACTGACATAGGGCTTGCCCATGGCCTCATAAAAAAGAGAGAGAGAAAGGCCAGGGGTGAGCTTTGAAGGCACTGGGCATCAAACTTCGGGCCCAGCTCACATCCAACCACCCCAAGGTTTGGTGGTTCCAACTCTCAAAATTGCAGCTCGCGAA